TAATTAAAAAAAACACCCAAACCCCCTTAATTAAAAAAACCCACCCTGACTCACTAGTCTGGAAGAATCAGTTCCTCTTTTCCAGAGCTAAGAAACAGAAGGAAGACATGGATGGCTCTTCAGGCTGCTGTTCCCATTTACACAAACTACCAACAGCAGCTGCCCAGTGTGGCTCAAACACTGCTGTCAGGTCTCACAGTTGGAAAACACTGCACAGCTCTTGGAATAAAAAAACTTCCACTGGGCTAGATGGAAATATTTAAACTACTGAGAAGAAAACATCCCTACTGGTTATACCAAATCTGCCCCAGCAGAGGGAAGCTCTTTGATGGAGCACAGGGAGACTCATCTCTATCACCACAGTTTGGTTTTTTTTCTGCTCTGTTTAATGCCAAAGAAAGTAAACATGACAGCACTGCTGAAAATAAAAGCAGACTGCAGAACAGGTCTCTAACACTGAAAGAAGAGGGGAAGAAAGGAAAAGTGCCTGAAAAGTACATCCCCTTCTGCACAGCAAAACACACAACTTCTCCAGGTGTTCCAAGACCAGACAGAACACACTGCCAGGCTGCAAACAAACAGCAGCACATTTGAAAGTAAAACATGAGTCACAAAAGGATAAATGGAGGAAATGTACAGCTTTTGAGAGTGCTCAGAAAGTTGTGTCTAAAAGCTTATGCCACCTGTCTCCTAATTTACATTACAAACCAAAAACATAAATTAAAGACCATAAAATAATACATAAAAGCAAAATCTTGGAAACTCTCAGCCAACATCTCACAGAGGAAAAAATCCTTTCAGTGCCAAAGGAAGCCAAAGTAAGGTATGCATATAACAGGACCACACACACTGAGGTGAAAACTTCTCCATTTTTATTTTTTAAAGAAAAATATTCCTCTTTAAACACAAAGCATGAACTAAAAACCTCTGAGGAACAGCTTCTCCTTCCTTGGAGCACGGTTAACTAAACTGTACAGTGATAGAGCTCCCCAAAGAAGTACACACACGTAACATACAGTCTTTCTTTCACAGGAAATAAGGTTTAGGACCTGAAATTGTCCTCCTCACCCTCTCTAGATACCCATTCAATCCCAAAGGACTCTGTACCTTACTCCCACCACAGGACACAGTGATGATAATTTCTGGATGCAATGTATATTTATAAAGAAAAAAAAGTATAGGCCAAACTGGCCCTTTTTAGCCTTTTAACAAATGTCTGTGAGAGAGGTTAAGACCATTGTTATTTCCAGGAATGGTGCTTGGAAGAGAAAATATAGCAGCATCCACAGGCAACATAAGCCCTTCATTCCAGCTGCCCTGTTTGAAGGAACTCAGCCAGTTCAGCAGTGTTTTACAGGTGTTCCCATCACCCAAGAAAGTGGAGTGGGAATAAAACATTCACAGGCCAAATCTGTTGCTTAAACAAATAGCCTAAAATTCAGTGAATCTGGCCTACGTATGCCAGCAATGAGGTTTCCCCCCCCCCACAGTGACCACTTTAATGTCTAAGATTTAATGTAAAAAGATATGATAACCTTCAGAAAACAGCAACTTGTTCTACCAATTCCCTCTGTCCCACCAAACAGGTATGTGCATAATGTTTGTCACATCTGCCAAACTACCCAGAGTGCAGAACTGGAACCTGACTCTAAAATCCAAATTCTTACTAACTCATTACAGCAAAGCCATCAGAAGACTCTGCAGGGTCTCAGAACATGCCTAACCAGCCCATACCCAAAGAAGTACTTGGGCATTTCCAGGGGAAAGTAGGAAATGGAAAAGGTCTGGAAATGGCTTATTTCTATCCTATCTGATCATTAATTGTTGGTAATTAAGTAATGCTCAAATCTTTACCAGACCATTTTGCAAAGATCTTTTCCATTCCATTTGCTCCAACAGTTTTTACAGTAGGAAAGATACTAGAAAAATAAAATCTCCCCCTTGAACAACACTGTATGAAGATCAACATCACCAGTCACAAACAGTTTTACAGGGGGACCAGAGAATCTTTTGTTTCCTCCAAACCAGCTTCAAATAGAAAACAGCAGCAAGAGAGACACAGTATCTACGAGCTAGATTAAGGCCAACAAGATAAAGACAAACATGGGCTCAGGTCTTTTGAAATGAAGAAACCCTCCAAATGTTTTATACATCTGCATATACACACACACACACACACACACACACACACACACACACACATGTACACTAGTGTGCACTTTTCAAGCAAAGGCTTCACAGCTGTGACAGCACCACTGGAGAGTGTTCTAGCACCAGAATGAAAATCTTGGTTGTCTTCCCTCTTCAATAAGAAAATCCAAAGTCTTTGTATTACTTTGGACAAGGTCACCAAACACCCTTCCAAGAACAGTTTCAGTGAGCAGATGCAGAAGTGCAGTGACAGGTTGAGGTGTTCCTGTTCTGGAATATGGGTGAGAAGAGGTGTGTTGAGACACTGCAGCTCCTTGGTTGCTGGAGAGGAGGAGAAGGTTTGTATGGCAATCAGGTTGAGACTGAGACCAGCTTGGATCCAGGTGAGTGTGATGGTAAAACTCAGCGCAGACTGGGAGGTGGAAGTGGAAAGTTTGCATACATGAAGTCACAGTGCACATCTGTTGGCATAATATAGACAAGCAAACCCACAGTATTTTCTGGCAGCTTGTCTCTGCATAGGAGGCCTCTAGGTAGGACAAGAATCTGTGAATGGGATGTCACACACTGCACCAGGACATCAGGAAACTCAAACAGCAGAGGTTTAAATAGAAGCTTGGAAGTTGCTCTGCCAGCATCCTGCCTATACACATGCTCAAGTGAGCCTGCACAAGTCTATAAAAGGGACAAAAATCTCTTTACAGCAAAGGATATGGGTCTGGTTTGTCTACAGGGAACAATTCATGCAAGTTACAATAGAATTAATCATCAACCCACAGCACATCTTTCTGCTGCAGGTCTCTAGCCTGGCTCTAGGCCTCTGTCTAGAGGAGCTGTGCAGCCCTTCACCAACACTCTGAGGAGGCTGAGAGAGATGCAGAGTCAGGAGTAACATCTGCTCAGCCCCTCAGGTCAGCACATGTGAGCAGAGGTCTGTCCTCTGCCTGTCCCACGGAGAGGAGGCGACAAACAGGCCTCACTGCCAAGGGAGGCTGGGAGCAGCAGCTGGAAGTGAGCTGCTAAAACAATGCAGGGAGACATGGAAAATACAAAGAGAGGCTTAATTTTTCAGGGCTTGAGTCAGCAGCAGTAAAGCCCCATTTAAGCTGTCATATGCATGCTGCTCAGAGTCTGGCTCTCACTCCCATGATATGCGGAGTGAGGCTGTGGTAGGAACTCGATTCAAACATGCAGGAAAAAAAATATGAAGTGAAAGGAAGGGTAACCATCACTCCTCGGTGTGAATTTCAGGTTCAGAGCATGGTCAGCAGCCATACACTTCGTTCTGTGCACATGCAAGAGCACAAGAGAGGGAACAGCAGCAAACTGAAGGGAGGGAAAGACACAGTAAGCACAACACTGTAATTCAAGATGCCAACACAAGACAATGGGGTGGGGGAAAGGAGAAAGAAATTTGAGGTAAAGGAGCCCAAAGGAAGAGACAATAGAAAAACTCTTAACAGAGCAAGTCCTGTTTCAGGAAACACACAGCTAATGTCAGCTCTTTTCACCAGGTATTCTTGATGCACTGGTAAATCTTCCCTCTGCACTTGGCATTTAAGAATCAAAGCATCAACATTTTTTCTCTCCTAAGATGCACTAAACAATTTTGAGTATTCAGCACAATACTCTAAATGGCTCCTGAATTCTAAGCAATGCTGACGACTCACACAAAAGCAGAAATGCCCAAATTATAAACTCTAGGGCTACTTCCCTTGGGTTAGAAGAGAAGAATCTATCCAGAAGGCTGAATAGTCCAGAAGCAGGTTTGGCATTTCTCCCCAAGAGCACCTGGGCATTTAGCTAAGTAAGAAATGTCTTAAATGGTTACTCAGCAAATCCCAACATGAGATTGAGGCATCAGGTTTCTGGAGAGATATGTACAATCAGACAACTCCTCACCGACCTCTAACAGAACAGATTTGTGCGATTCACAGCAAGAACAAGCTCTGCCACTCATGGCCTCAGTGGAAACACCAGCAGAGTGGTGAGCTGAAGCCCTTTGACACTGGGATCCTTTCTTTTTACAGACTTAGTTGTAACAGAATTAATGCCTCCTGGGTAAAGCAAAGCACAGGCTTCTCGTTCTGATGTCTGTCTGGGGTGGTGCACACCTGCAGCCACAGCACTGGCTGGAGGTATGTACAGGCAGCAGCTTCTGAGAACCAGCAGGACCAGAATGGGAACTGGTCAAAGTGGCCTCAGGGACAGGGCCAGGTCCAGGTGGAAGCACATGGACATCTAAGATGCAAGAACAAGACAGAGCAGCCAAGGTCACCCACGTGCTTAGGTAAGCTTAAGGCAACTAAAGATAATTCACTGATAACTTAGAGGAGAGTGCCAAAGGGAAGAGAGAAGAGGAACCACTGAGCAGAGGCTGGGGATGCTGTTACAGTAGCCAAAGCCCAGCACAAGCTACTAAGCCATCCCTCTTCTTCAGCTTATTTGTTCTAATTCTCCTCATTTTACCAGCACCATCAGCACGAGGTCAATGTGTCAGAAAGAAGAGTTGGGTGTAGGTTCCTAAAAACGTAGCTCACACATTTTCAGGCTTGTCTAAGGTCAATTCTTTTGAAAGAAAGTGTGTGGGCCATTTGAGTGGCCTCCTGCTTTGAACTGAAGCTTTCTGGGAGCTCTGCCTGCCACCTCCAGGGGCAATCCTGGGATATGTTCTACCTGGAAGTGACAGCAGCAGCTCCTCAGGTTCCTCATCACGACAGTTGAGTGTACAGTAGTTCTTCAAAAACCAGCATGCACCAGTGGCGTGGCCATGAGACATGAAGCCATGGGTGAGTCTGTGTCTCCTCAGAAGCAGGTGGCACCAGGCAGAAAGGGAGTGTTGGCACAAATCAGCGCAGGCTCCGGTAGACGTAGGCCGACGTGAAAACAGCATTGAGGGTCAGGCTCACAGCCAGCAGGCCCCGGAGAGCAGAGCTACCAAAGTGACCTTAGCAGAAGAGAACACAGAGGGAAAAGGGAATAGGAGAAAGAGATATTAAAGGACTGATGAGATAATAACAGTGAACATACACTGTACTGTTTCTCTGTGCAGTGTTTTCACCACAAGCAGAAACTGGTGAAGCACTTTTCCCATTAGGAACGATGCTACTGCTCTCCTTGTCTCTATTTTCATGTCATTGCTGTTCTTGACACCTTTTCCCTTTTCTTCTGTCTCAGTTTAGCACTCTGACAGTATTCTTCAGACAGTCCAAAGAACAGGAACAGCCTCACTAAGGTCTGAGAACAGCAGAAGATCTGTTTTGCTACTACTTATTTATTTGATCTCAAGATGAGATCATTGCAGCACAGGAAAGATCTCAGTTACCCTCACAGAAATACACATGCATGAAGCACTCACATGACTTGCACTTACCTCTCCAGCCTGCCAAATCTTCCCCTTTGGTAGTTGTGTCTACCACACAGGTAGATGAGTGTGATGAGTGATCCTCCTTTTTGATGGAATTATCACTGCAAATACTCCCTCCTTCCACAGCAGATCTCATATCTGCAAGGGGGAAAAGATAGGAAAATTCAGAAGGCACCAGGGGAAGCCAAAAGTAGAAGTTACCAGACTAAAGCTAGACACGAACAACGAATGGTTGTCTGGTGAAATTATGAAAGGATTGAGGACAGGAACTGGAAATAAAAGGCAAATTTCATAGAATCATCAAGGTTGGAAGAGATGTCTAAGACCATCAAGTCCAACCATTAACCTGTCACTTCACTGTAATTCCTATCTTCCAGTGGCAGGTGCAGAAACCTCTTCAACACTTCTAGGGATGGTGACTCCACCACCTCCCTGGGCAACCCATTCCAACTTCACTGCTGTGCAGCAGAAGTTGCCTGCATGTTTGCCTCATACACTGCCCTTATCAGCATCACCACATCCATGGTTAAAGGAGTTATCCAAACATGAGTGAAGGCAGTGGCAGTAGCATCCCTGGGGCACCACTAGCGAGGAAAGGTCATCTGCTTGGGCAGCTGAGAGCCTCTCCAGGGCAGTGGGTGTCCCAAGGAGCTTTGGTAGCCCACCATCATCACCACATGGGCTTCTCCTGAAGCTCTCCCATCTGTTGTGTGGCCTAGATGATGCTTTGCTCCCTACAAATGCACACGCAGCAGTGCAGCAGGTTGGCAGCATACCAGGCATCCCCCGCTCGCTGAGGTTCTTCCTCGGGAAGGAGGACAGCTCGGTGGCAAAGATGTTGCTGTCTGAGTGGGTGTGCTCCTCTGAGCTCGTTGGGGTGAGCAGAGCTTCATTCTGGGATGAGAAGAGCAGCAGCTTCTGTCCTTTCAGGTTGAGGCGGGCAGGGCTGATGAGGGGCCGGCGGAAGCGCAGGGATCCCGAGCTGGAGGTCACGGAGCCAGCGACGGACGGGGCCGGGGATGGGATGCGGGAGGGAGCACAGCTCCCAGACAGCAGGGAGAAGTGCTCTGGAATGGAAACATTCCCAGAGAGAAAACAATGAGATGACAACCCCAACACAACAGACACGGTTTCCTTCAAACAATTCTACAAGAAAATGAAGCAGGAGTTGAAAAATATCCAATGCATCTCATACTAAAATTCCTTCTCCATTCATGTTCCTACATAGCAAAACATGGATAGACTCCACATGCACTTTAGAACACTCAAGAATGACTCAGGAATGGGGATGTCAGGAGCCAGGTGAGTTTTCTCTTTTCTGAGTTGTGCCCACCCAGGAGATCCTGCATTACACATTTTGCAGGTAAATGAATTGTTCTGGCATGTCCTTCAAAGGCTCTTGGGAAAGTGTATTTGGGTGTGAGGAGCTTTGCAGAATGGCACTGGGCCAGGCTGCAACTCCACATGATCCAATCAACCAAACCAAAGGATCTGTTGGTGTCAAAAGGACAACAGACAGGTCATGGGGGACATGGGAGCAAAAGGGCAGAGCAGACAGGGCAGTCAAATTAGAAGTCCCTTGGGCTGAGAAAGCCAAGTGCAACAAAAGAGCTGCCCTAGAATAGTTAAAAGTCTCCTACCAATGCAACCTCAACTCAGCTGTAAGCAGGGAAAGGATCCTTGCTTTGCCTCACTGATTTCACCTTCACCAGGGGAGAAGGACATCCAACACATCCAGCACCTGATTTTAATGCAATCCCACTCTTAGCTGGAACTCTCCCTGCAGCATTTCTAACTGCAAACCTGCAGTTTTCACGGGGATGTGAGCAGGGAGGAAAGGATACAACTGGACCATGTGTTTCAACCCACTCACTGCAAATCCTGCAAAGACAGGAAGGCCTAGTGCAGTACCTGATGTAGGAGACTCCTTGGATTGAGATGACTGCAAGACTGGTCGACTTCCACTGAACAAGTAACCAGAATCTAAAAGCAAAAATGAAACAATTTAAGCCCAGCTGGCTCAGTCACTGGAGCTTTGTCTTTCAGAAATGCAACTGCATCCTCTTGTCATGCTCTTGTCTTGACTGTCTGGCTCTGCACCTCAGTGAACAGAGCCCAGAGCTCACGGGGTGGTTTAGCAGGCAGAGGAATCCCAGTGCCTGCTGCACTTGCACCTGCCCTTCCAGGGGCACTCAGGGAACTGTGCCAAAAGCTGCCAGGCTGCTGGAAGGTTTGCATGGCTGGTCCTTGTCTTGCTCTTAGTGGATCTGGCCAAACTGCAGGCAGCATGAGCAAGAGGAAATGTTGAATGCACTAAAACCCCCACAAGACTGCTCTCTGCTGCAGGGCTGTCCTAGAAACTGCCACATTTTGGCCTCTGACCTTCTGGTAATCAGTTAGTGACATGGGAATGCTTAGCTTTCCTTGGATAGAGAACAGCATTTGAATACTATTTCCCATCTGTTGGTTTCAAGCACAGCAAAACTGAGGGGAGTTACTGGAAGAGACTTTCCTTAGGCCTATAAATCTTCCCTAGATTACACAGAGGCCTTCAAAACAGGGGAAAATAGGGTCCCTAAAGCAGCTTCAATAGTGCTAATGCATATCCAGTCCAGACTTAGGGAAGAGTCTGCCCTCAGCTCTGCTCCCTTCAGCTGGAGCAAGAGAAGCAAACTAGACAAAGCAGCTCACAGGGAAAGATTGTTCTTGCCAGATCAGTTATCCTAATGCTCCCCAAAGCTGCTCTTCTCCATTCCCATGTCTAACTGCTCCTTCTGTCTCTCTCCCACACGTAGCTATATGCCATACTGACACAAATGCCTGGAGAAGCCTCTGGATTCCAGTAAACCCACAGCAGCCAAGCACTCAGTGAGACTTTTTGTTTCCCCAAGATGGCAATGGTTTGCTGTGCAATTTCTTAATGCCAAATAAACTAATTCCCAGTGCTGGGTACTCCTCTGTGCCAAAGAAGTTACAATTCCCAAACAGGACTATAACAAGTGGATACTCCACAGCTCATTTCCTTCTGAAACTGCAACTCCATGACCATTTCCTAAGGGTCAGAAAGGTTCCTGTATGCTTACCTGCCCTGGCCAAGGAGGGGATGGTTCCCAGGGAGAGAGCCCTGTTGAGACGGCCAGGAAGAGAGGATGAGGAAGTCCTGTGTGGGGACCTGAAGAGCTGCTGGTTTGTCAGGTGGAGGATACTGGGTGGTGTTGGGACAAAGAGAGACGTGGCAGGTGAAGGGAAGGATGTCCCGTTGCCGCTGGGAAAGAGAGTGATGGAATCCCCAGGAAGGTACCTGCAAAGGACATGCAGGACAGACACTTAGCAATGAGAATATTCCAGTAACTCCCTCTCTCTGTTGTACTTGCATGAACACTTGTTTTGGTATCAGGTTTGGATTAACTTTTAAGTGCATCTGCAAGATGCAGAATGCTGAAGAGTTTATGGGAATGTTCCTACACTTACTGGGGGAAGGAGGAACTGCTCAACCTTACTTAGATTACTGTGCACCAACCTGTCCCACAACACAGGGTGGAAAAGATGGTGCAACAGTTTAGGAACTTAGGTGTAAACAAGTGTAATAAACCTTGGATCTTTCCCAGAGACCACCAAAGTCCAGACACACAGAGGATCAACAACAGAGTGTCTTATGTTTGCTATGTGCACATGCTTCGACATACCATGGCTGGGGGAAGCAAATTGTCTTCAGAAAGCAGAATTAACATCTTACCTCTGATGCCAACAGAGAGAAAAGGATTTTATGGCTACCTAGACAAAGATTTCTGCACAAGAGCTATTTTAGAACTAACATTTAATACATTTGCCTTTATTTATGCTTCTGTGAGGTAATGAAGAGCCACTACCCTCATTTCACACATGGGAAAGAAGGAAAAACTAGGGAAGTGACTAGTCAAGGGACACACAAGAACCCTGTGATAGGATAGAGACACAAACCTGTGTTTTCCAATCCTAAATTGAGGCCCAAAGCATTACATTTCCTTTCTCTGCATAACAGAATTAGCCCCAAGTATGTCCCAGCACAGCTACCCCGAGGGATCTGTGCTCCTGCAGCACATGCTCCAGGAAATGTCTTCCTTCTACTGCCTTAACACAAATCTCTGTCACAGTGCCTGGAAAAAATTTCAATTGGCAATAATAATGGCCATTGTATTTCTAGGTCTGCAAGTTGTTTTCAAAGGGCTCCTTCCAAGAGCAAGAGTGGAGCTGTGGAACAGTGTGTCTGGCTTGAGAACAGGAGAGAAAGAGCAAACAAAACATACATGGAGCAGCTTTATTTTTGAGTGCTAGAGACATAAACTGACTCCATTCTCTGGTAAAATAACTGTATGAGAGGACTTTGTGCTTTAAACTGTTTTCACAGCTAACACTGCCACAGTATTTCACACTCAATTACTACCTGCAATTAATTTCTGACCCCCATTTATCACCTACCTTTGCAGTGGTTTAAAATTTAAAAATCAACCAACCCATCAAAAACTTGCTCCTGTTTTAACCTACTTTCTCTTCCCTCTTGCAATCGCAAAATCAAAGATCTTGATCTTTCTGTAGGTTTAGTTGACTATAGATTTTTAGAGATTTCTATAGTTTTCTATAGATTTAGTTGACTACATCACATCAGGAGTGTGGAGCCACCTTTGGAGTCTCACTTGTGTCCTCATACCATCAAATGTCCTCATACCATCAAAATACCAACCAATACCAATTCAATCTGTGAAGGTTGCAATGTTCAAGTATAGGAAATCTGTATTTTTTTAAACATGAAAATATATGCAAGGAAGTCTAGAATATGAACCAGATCTCTGAAGAATCTCCTACAAGGTTTCTGTTTAGTTAGAGACAGGGAATACACTTGTCAAATAAGCCCTGATGAAGAACTAACAGAGTATGAAGTGAATATATTTTTAAATGGAGTTATCTGACTTTGCAGATGCAATTAAGCTGCAATATTCAGAGGCTTAATCTCACTGCTGATGGAAACAGAGACAGATGAGAGCAGCAACATGGTTTTTCTTCTGTCAGAGGAAAGCCAGGAGTAAATCAGAGCATGAAGGAATATACATATCTCATCCTTGAGCTGTGAGTTGATTTATGCATGTGCCATTCTCTCTTGAGATTAAAGAGGTGGTGTAGCAACATTATGCAGTGGTAGCATGGCCAGGGGAAGCAGCCTAGAGTTAAGATTACACTTTCAAATATCTTATAAAACTACTTATCTGCTAGTATGAGGCAGAAATCAACAATCCCAACAGCTTAACTGGGCTGAACACCTGAGCCAAGCAGTGTCCTGGGGCTTGCAAGCAGGACATGGCTCTAACAGCAGCAAGGGACTTGTCAGTCTTGCAGCAGAATCTGCCCAACCTCTTCAGGTTCCAGAGGACCTGGGAAGGGTGTCATGCTTTGCAAACACGCAGAGTCCTTCAGTGCAAACACACACACACACACACACACACACACACAGGTGTACGTGCCCAGTTCAGCTTTGTCAGAGAAAACAAATGGGAAAGGGAATCAGAAGTACAGCTCAGGACTATGATATGAATCCGAGGGGAAAGGGTGATACCTACCCACTCACTGTGCCATGGCTGTGAAGGGCGAAAAATCAGAGCAAACACAGCTCTTCTGTCCTAACTTTGCACCTTCTGTATCTTTGGGCTAAAGGATCCAACTTTACACAGCACCTTGCTGCAGCAGAAAACAGCTAAACTGGCTTATTGGCTTTTGGTGGCTTTTCTTTTAATGGGTTGAAGATATTACAGTCACCTAACCACAGTCTCTTTCCTGGAATTGAAACTGTTTTGGATCAGGCTTCCAATGGCCCTGCAGCTCCACAGCCTCACTTCTCAACCTCCCCAGGTCAGTGCAGTCAGGTCCTTGGGGCAGCTGAGGAATCATTTGTCTTGCACCATCCAGCAAAGGAATTTTGCTGGTTAGCAAAGAAGAGCTGAACAATTTTAAGCATGGCATATCAATGCTTTCAGACTGAGTGCTGATCAGAGGGCTTAACTATTGATCTGTTCCAAATTCCTGCAATGTATGCAAAATCCTGTTCCTTTTCTCTGCACTCTTTAGTGTTTGCCATGTCAAGAGGGCTAGATGCTGCTAAAAGCTGTAATGGGAATGTGCTTCATGCCTGAGAATGGGCAGCTGGACTAAACCTCCTTTCAGAAGCAGATGAAAAAAAAAGGTGAGGAGATCAAGAGGATCATAAGGCAGGAAGCAACCACATCACAGCCCTGGAATGGAGCACTGCAGCTGTGTCTTTGCTCTCAGACTATGCACTGCCCCAAGCCATTTGTGCAGGTGATAATAGGAGTCTGGTGACAGTGCAAAAAGTAACCAAAAAAGGAAGAAAAGGAAAAAAAAAAAAAAGGCTCTGGAGTCAGACAGTTTGTGGAAATGGTCAGGGCTCAGAAGCCGTTTATTTCAGAACTTGATATTGCAAACATCAAAAATTGGGTATTTTAAGTAGTGTTTACAATGATCACAGCGTTACTAGACAGTTGGGCACAAATCTGCTACACAGATACTGTTAAAATAAATAAATAGAAGGTTAAAGAAGAGTATTACATGGTATGGGACTGTACACTGTCCTGAAACAACACCTTCTGCCAGCAGAGCTTCCCCTGCTCTGTCTCCACACCTTCTTAGCCAAAGACACCACCATATGTGTGTGGCTTTTTAATTCACATTTTAACCAGAGATGCTTCATCACCCCTGGGACAGGGAGAGGCATGGGAGAGCACTGAGCAGGTCAGGCTACAGGGCTGCAGATGGACCCACTCCTGTATCAGGTAACTCAGTCCATGAAGTAAGAAGGTGAGATGCAGCACAGGGAGGTTGTGGTGTGTGCCCAGGTTCACCTGCCTGGGGACAGCCAGGGAACCATCAGGTCAGGGGGTAAAATGTTTCCTCTGCACTTAATTCAGCTGTGAGTTATCCATGTAAAACTGCACCTTTCCCCTGGCAGTGTGGGAGCAGAGTATCTCCCTGCAGCCTCTGCTGGTTGTGCCAGCAGCACATTGCTGTGCCCTGACATGCAGAAACTGCTCTGCTGCATCTTATCAGTCAGGGCCACAACCTGGGCCTCTGGTCAGCTGACAGAACCAGGAGGAAAGAGCAATATAGTGAATAAAAAACAGGCACAGGGAGAGGGGAGAGGAATACTAAAAAGCAGCGCAGGTCTCAGACACATCGAGGTTTTGATATGGGACTTAGAAACTTTAGCTGCCAAGGGTAAGAATTCTTCTCTCCCACGTTGTCTTGCATTGGATGAAAAAAAAGCTGAAAATGCTCCAGCTGCAGGTACTAATACCTGCCACTAATACCTTCCCAAGTACAGATGCTTGGCATTAATTCTGCCTTCCATCCTAGCTGGTGGCACAAAGGTGGGGAGATGTGTATGTATATGCACATCCTATGTCTACACCAATCCAGACTTGCTGGCATGAAAAAAAACCACATTCAGAGAACCTCTTCTTGCCTGTGTACTCCACAGCTTTGGTCCCAAATGAGGTTTTACAGGGGATGACTTGGGACTGAGCACTGTCCCTTTTGTAGAACATCTGCCATGGCTCAGAGAGGCCTCAGGTGTGCTCACAGGTGACCTCGCATCTGGGATGAACTGGCAGGTTATATGTGACAGCACACAATTTCAAAGCATCTCTTTAAAAACCAAAGCAAAGCCACACACCACAGCTCCCTGCTTTCATGAGTGGAGCCAGTCTGCAGCAATCATCTGGCTATTAATTATATTAATTTTTATAAGAGCATAAATACTTCATCCACAATACATCAAGACATACTTCCTATAGTATCTAAGCATGGTTATTAGCTTCACATTATTTCAGCATACCTGAAAAATATTTAGCAAGCCAAAATAAAACACTACTACAATTCTTATCTTTCCCCTCATGTCCCCACCCCCTTGGCACACCCAAGCTCAGCTCACTAGGGCATGCAAAGCAGGGATGGAGGAAAGGAGGAGTAAATAGAAAGGAGAGAATGGGATATAAATATAGTGTATTTAATGGTAAAGGGCCACACAGGTGTCAGTTTGCATGCAGTGATGTCAGTGAAGGCTTCAGGAAGACCAGAAGTAGCAGCAGCAGAGATGCTGACTTTGTTGCTAGCTCTGGGCTCTCCCTCAACCCCCTAAATAACCTACAGAGTTGCTCAGAAATTTAAGAGTACAGCCCAAGTGTCCTCTTTTATGCCCTGCCACACTCACTGGTGGCAGATGAAGGACAACAGCACTGGCCTGGCAGACACACAGGCACTGCTGTCCCAAGTTGCAGCCACGTTGGTTCCACCGAAGCAAAGCAATGTAGTGTTGTCAAAAATCTTGTCCAGGGAAAGGCACTTAATGAACCCACATCAGCCCCTTTATCAATCTGGCTCTGCTGGGCAGTGGACAAGATTTTGAGCTGGCAGATCAGCCACGACCACTGAGAGCCAAAGTCAGGCACTTGGGGATGGAGCAGATCTGATTGCAAGTGACACACAAACCCACTAACAATCCTCTCCACCTCAGCCCCATCCTCTGGTCCAGGCACCAGCACATGGCCAGTGTGGCAAAGCAGCACCTTAAATTAGGGGCTAAACCCCTCTAATATTGTTAAGATGTTTGCATGCTCTGGGAGAATCCTCAGGTAATAAAGGTGCATCTGGTGACTGACCACAGGTTCACCACATGTTCCCCGTGGCCTGAAAAGTCTGGCTAAGGGAAAATAAGAAGCTTAAAGCACTGATCAAGTGGTTCTGGATGATTTTGTGTTGGCTTTGTTAGTAACCAGCCCTTTGTTAGCTGTTCTCCCACACAGCAGAAGGCAATGTGTACCCATGTGTCATACAAAATAGCACCTCAGCTGCTCTGTGCTCAGGGCTTGGACTTGCACCAAAACACCTGAGCTGGAAGCACATTTTCTTCTGCTGGACTCACTGTGGGACAAGCAATCGTGCAGTTAGATTATGTATCTAACTGCTGAGCTATTTCCTAACTGAGCCTCAGGTGAAAAAATGCAAAGCACCTTTCATACAGCACCTACAGCATGGCAGAGCGTCTAGAACAGTATTGTCGG